AGACTAGAAAGGCCTCATGTCAATTCAAACTCTATGGTTTGCTAGTTATTAAGCATTCTAGTTCTTAGTGGTCAAATTCAAACCGTTTTGGAGCAAAAATTTTACAAATAAAGCTAAATAAATTGGTGTGGGGTTGAATTAGATCAGACCATTAAATTGGTGTGGGGTTGAATTAGATCAAACCATTGATCAAGTTTAGTCTAAACTTTCATTATCTAAAAAAAAAAAGAAAAAAAGATTAGTCTAAACTTACTTGGCCCATTTGTGGACCCCAAGGTGAAAAGGAAGCCAGCTGGCAAGTAAATAATGGACATGATTGGGTGATTTGGCAAAGAGGGGACACAGTGGAGACAAAATCTCAAAGCATGAGGCCCCACCCATCTTTTGTTTGAAGGCCCTTAGATCTCATCTCAAAAGGCCCAACCTTTGAGTATGAAAGGAGGAGTAGAAGATATCACAAATGTTCACTGTCACCTTCAATTTCAAGATTTTAACCAGCTACTCATTGAATATCCAAAATAAATGGAACCTTTTGTCTTCATAGTGGATTAATTTTTTAAATAAAAAGGATGTTCTTGTACATCCTTGCGCTTTGGAGATGCCAAATCCTCTCTGGATTGCAGAACCATTTCATTTCGTCTTCGTTTGGATGGTTCAAGGCAAGGTTTTTAAAAAATAATCGGAGCCTTAATCGCCTGGGACTGTTCCCAAATCGATCAATCTGACTCAAGCAATTCCTGACTCGAGATCAGATGGATAGAATAGAAATAAAATTAGAAAAACTAGGAAAATATGGTGATCTCTGGGTACCTCAAACTCAAATCACTCACCTATTGATTCAATGCCAACTCAGGTGATTCCAAGTCAGCTCATCAATTCTTGAAACCCTGGTTTAAGATATAAAAACCTCTCTGTATGGGCAGTTTGATAATCGATACACATAAAACAAGACAAACAACTTTTTTGCTATTTAAAATATCTTCGAAATTGGTATATCTTTAAAAACCAATTACATTTGAGATCCCAAATCAACATCATAATAACCACATCTAATTAAAAGAAAAGTTACTACTTGATGAGGCTTAATTTATAGTTTGTTGAGCCCTAAATCTTCTCTAACAACCAGTTAGTTGGACTGTATCATTCTTAAGATAAATGTTGTAGGTCTCAATTAGAGGAGGAAAATGAAAGGAAAAGAATAAAGAAAAGTTTGGGAGAGAAGACCACATGGGGTGTCAAAATTAGGGCAGATGGGGGTGGTCAAGGAGGGCGTCAATCTGCCCTTGATATGCGCTAAGTGGCATGTGAGAAACCCTAGCTGGTGGGCCCAACCCCATCAACCCTTATTCAATGTTTTCCCCTAAATTTAGAGGTGGTTTCTCCCAATTTAGAGGAAACGTGAGTTGGTCATTTGAAACCCCCCTTATTTGTCAATCTATTTTTCTTATATCCATTGCTTCCTCACGTGAACCTTAACTCACGCCCTAAGTTAGGCTAAACAATAATGTTAAATTGCCATTCAAGTTAACATTAAGAAAAAAAAAAAATTTCAAAGTTTTAAAAATAATGCATCTTGTAATGCGTTAGCTAGACTGTTAATTTTCAGGATTTTAAGGTTCAAGTTTTAAAAATAGTGTATCTTGTAATGCTTTAGCTAGACGGTCAATTTTTAGGATTTTCATGGTCGATCAAAACTGTTTTTGGATATTTAGATTTTATAATTAAAGATGAAAATAAATTTTTAGGGCATCTCAAAGATTTTTGATACTAAAACAACGTGTTTTGGCACTATTTGGAAAGTGCGCCTTACTTTGATTGGTTAGGAACTCAGCACGAAATTTAAGGCTAGTTTGGGATGATACTAATGTTGAATTAGATACCAAGGTTGTTAAAAGTTTGGGGTTTGCATTGGTTCCCATTAATGGTAAATCGGGATTAAAGCTTCTCTCAAAAGTTTGGAGTGGGGTTTTGTATAGATAGTGTTGAATTAGGTTTTAAGGTTTTTCTAAACTTGCGGTTTGATTTAGGGTGGCCTTAAATGCTATTTAAAGTGCCCATAAAGATTCAAGCTACTTGGGTTTCATAAAGTTTGCTATTTCTAATTAAAGTTCACCAAAACATCATGCCTACGCTTGAAGTGTTTACACATCCATTAAATAGAGTGATCGAAAAGGAATGAAGGCCAAAGGTCACAACTGTTATTCATCAGGGAAAGGAGTCTATTTAGATAACTTTAAGGGCATTTAATTTATTTATTTATTAATAAATAGATAGGTAATATTTTGGGTGAATAAGTTTAGTACTTTTTTTGGTGAATAATTGGTTTAGTACTTTATTATTCCAATAATTGTTATCGTAACTTAAAGTTATTTGGGAATTTTCATACTATTCCTAAGCCGGTTGAGTACAAATTTTTTTACCAAGAAATGGGTCTCATTTTTGTGCAGAATTTCAGCTTAAGTTATTGAACAAGCCAACTAAAATAAAAAGAAAGGCTTATTTTGCTTGATAGAAAAGTTATTTACTATGGGCTATGGGTCATAAATGTAACTAAATGATTAATGCCCGTGAATGTAGGGGCATCTTCTACCAGAAAAAAAAAAAAGGAAAAAGTTAGCTGTAAACACTAATTTAAGCATGTAAATGAAAGAGAGAGAGAAGAAAAAAAAGAAAAAAAGGGGATTGTGCTAAGGCACTACTATATCTAGGGATACAACATAAACAAGATGTTTATAATACAAAGGGGTCCATAGGTACTAATTGTTAGTTTATTCTTCTCCATTTTAGATTAGGAAAATGGTGCAGCCTTATGGAAATAAGTAAATCTTCACATCATAACTTATCGAAAATTAGGATTTCAAACTCTAAAAATAGTGTATATTATGACAAATTATCCAAAATATCCGTTTTGTCCTAAAAATATGTGTTCATATATCCACAAGATCTGTACCATGTTTTAGTTTCAAATTTTATTATTGGTATTGAAAATTGATTTTAGAGCTATCATAGATGTTCCCGTCGCCAAAAGTACTTTCTTGACAAGGATTTAAGGTGGGGCTAAAAAGCCTAGGCCTTGTAGAAATCTCAAGCTTTAGATTACAAAAGAAAATATCATATAAAATATCCTTCTACGCCTGAATAAATTTGAAAATATCTTCCTAAATACATAATAATAGGCTTCACAAACAGATAGAGAGAGATGGAGTCTTTCTTGGGTGAAGAGAGAGAGAGTAGATAACTTCAATCCAATTATAACTGAGATATGAAAGCCCAAAAAAATAAAAATAAAAATAATTATTTTGTCCCATGTAATTTGTTATTCGAAGAGGCGTGCGACGAAGCGTGATGATGATAGTGGGTGGGGGTGTTTCCCTCCAATAATAATTAATAATTATTATTCCTTCCCTAATTTTCCCTTTTTTTTTTCCCTGAGAATATCTTTTTCTCTAATTTATTACGAGATAAAACAAAAACGGGGCTAACATACCGAGCGTACGAAACGGAGACGGTGGGCCCCACCCCCATCCACTTCCGTTAAAGCGCTCGCAGTATGATGACATGGCATGATCTGGTCACGTGTCATGCAAATTATGGAACGCCATTGGCTGGACTCATCTTACGTGGTAACCCATGCGTCGGTGGTTACCCATACGCATTGTAGAAATAGAAAATGCCTAAATGGGGATCCTCAAGAGAGGGAAAGTAAAACATTACTATTATACCCTCACCACTGCAAAATTGCAAACCCTAGTCCACCCATTTTACCTTGTTTTTTTGTCGACATGTAAATAAAAGAATTTTGAGAAATTTATTTCAAAAATGTACTTTTTATGTACAGAATAAAAGTTTAGCAAATTTTAGAGCATGATAGAGTGGTTTGAATATTAGAAGTTCTTGTGAAAATAGCATATGGGTATTTTGGAAAAGTAAAGGAGTAGTTTATATAAGACCTAAGTTTTATGAAAACAAAGTAAAACCTCACATTGAATCCTCATTAAAATAGCATTTTGAGCATCAAAATCTCCATGATAGCTCTAAAATCAAATTTGAAAGTTAACTTTGAAATTTTAATTTGAAAAAATAGCACAGATCTTGATACTTATTTTAAGAGAGAAATAGACAATCTAAATATGTTATAATATACATTATTTTTAGGGTTCGAAATCTTAAATTTTTCACAACCATAATGGTCAAGGCGGAGATGATCCATTCGAAAGTTTTCCAACTCCAAAATTACAATTTCGGTGAGGCCTTACGTATTGGATACGGCAGCCCATCAAAACATTTTCTAAAAATACAACGATCTTAAAATTTGAGAAAAAGGTTGATTTCTCATGCTCTCTCAATTTGAGTTGATATAGAAAACCTAAAAAACCGGCGAGTGGGGAATTTCATTTGTCCCAAACTCGAATCTTTTCCTCAAATATTTGGAAAACGAATAATGGCGCGGGTTTGCCCTAACGGAATTTTCCGCCAAATATTTAGCGGAATTCAAACACTCAACGGCATGAATGGGGACACCAATCCTTGCCCTAAGGCTATTCTTGTAATTTTGCAACAAGGGCACTTTAGTCATTTCAAGTCAAAAGCACTCCACCGCGTGTCACGGAAGGACAAATCGAGAATCAAATCCGCTGCCCTTTAAATCCAACGGCAAAGAATCCATCGAAGGTTTCCCATTCCAATCCCATTTTGCATCGCGGATCTCTCCCAACCAGGATCGCTCATCCTCACCGTCCAACATCCTTTCACCTAACGATTTGGTCCTTCACGGTCATTTTTATCGTTTTCAGGTCCAAATCACGTCACAACCACCCCTCCATTGGAGGAATTCGTTAGTAGCAGTTAGTAGTTGGGGTTCGTTTCAGTTCTTTCTTTTTGCCCATTTTGTTTTATTTATTTATTTTTTTAACCAAACCATGTACCATGGTTAAGCAGGTAAACCACTCAAGTTAACGAGTTCTCGTTCTTGTGTCTATAAAAAGAGCGAGTTATTGGTGTACAATTTGACTGGTATTTTCCTCTTCTCTCTCTTTTTGATAAAGCAGCCATGGCAGCTTCTATGAAGATCTTTCCTCTTCTTCTGCTGTTCCTTCTGGTCAAGGCTCGAGTGTCGAACTCGGTTGCAGAGGAAACCCTAGATTCAAGGTACATTGTCCAGTCTTTAGCTACTCTGTTTATGTTTCTATTAGTCCCTTCTGGTTCCATCTTGAGTTGTTTTTATCTCACAGTTATATTCTCTGCAAATGTATGGTGTGTGTGGTTTGCTTCTGAGTTTTCACTTGAATTTCTGAAACTTTTTGAGTTCCTGAATGAACCATGGCGTTTGGCATTCTTTTCTAGTGAAATTTTGTGTTTTCTGGATTTTTTTTGCTTTTTTACTTCAATGTGCTATTTCCATTCATTTTTGGCTTAATGTAAATAATGCTACATTATTCTCTGGTGTTTCAATGGTTTTTGCTGGGTTTTTGATGTTACATGTGAAAATTTGGGTCTCTTGGAAGTTTTCAGTGAGTATTCCCCTGTTAAATGTACTTAACTCATTTGCATAAAGTAAATAATTATCTCATGTTTTGATGTTTCTTCTTTCCTCTGTTCAATGTGCTTCATTCATTCATTTATAGTGAAAAATGCGCTCAAATTTCCACTGCTTCTTGTTTGTCCTCTGTTAAATGTGCTTTAGATGTTCATTGTAAAAGAGCAATGTGCTCGTTTTCTCTGCTATTTTTGTTAGGATTTTCTTTTATTTTTAGCATTTCTGGTTCATAATTTTCGATTTTACTTGGAGGGAGTTGGAAATGGAAGCTTGCTTTTGGAAATTTTAGGGTTTTTAGTGCTCCTTTTTTTATTTCCCTGTACTGCATTATGCGGATCTGGTGTTCTTTGGTCTTTGGACGGTCAACTGGTTTTTCTTCCTCAGTGGATCTGGACCGTCCAGATTCGGTCGTTATTGCTTCTCCTTCGTTCGTTGTTACCCGTTTCTTTCCCCCTTTCTCTGCTTTTGAGGAGGCTACAAAACTTTGCGTGTTCTTACAATCTTAACCGTCCATATCGAAACACTGGAATCTGAACCCTTCGTCCACTCTCTCTCTAGATTCTATTGGTCTGAAGAGCTTGCATTCTCTCTCTCAAAATAACCTGAACTCTTTCTCTTATAAACAGTATTCTCTCTCTCAAATCTCAATAACCTGAAGTCTGGTCTCTCTCTCTAACCTGAAGTCTCATCTTTGTTTTTTACATTTTTTATCGGAATTCTCTCTCTCTTTCTAGGCAACAAACAGAGCCCTCTCTCTACAATCACCTGAACTCTTCTCGTTCAATGTGTTAAGTGGAATAACAAACTCAAACGGAAGAGTATTTCCGTAATTTAATAGTTATTTTAATGGCCTGTTTGAATTTTGTTGCCTATTATAATTGTATAGAAATCAGGAGCAACACGATAAGTCGGCGAAGGGTCCTGGGCTCGAGGGAACAGGAGTCAGATCCGTTGCTCAAAACCGGTAAGCGATCTCTCACTCAAATTTGTTTTCTATAAATAAATAAACTAAGTCGTATTTCCTAAAATACCCTTGTTCTTTTACAAAAACCACCATGTCATCCCCAACTTGGCAACCAAAATTTGAAGGTCTTGCCGCAACTAGCGGTGACAATGATCAAACGGTTCTGATTTCATGAAGAAAAGAAGCTGGACGGTCCAATTGCTATACGTATGCACTCTTATGCCTTCATCGTTGGATGTGATCGTTCAACGGTTCAGATCCATTGATGCGGAGATCCCCTACCGTGGCGATCCAAGCAATTAATCTGGACCGTCCAAATAAACCTGTTTTTTTTGGCCTTTTTACAAAGTCCCAAAAAAGTTTGGAAACAACAATAAAGCGGAAGGCCCGGATTGTGTGTATGCGAAGCTATATATGGAATCTGAACCGTCCTTTTTGTGACCATCTCTTCGTACCGTGATGGACGGCAGATACGTGTTATTAATGAGATACACCTCTGGAGGTCGACGGTGACCGTTGGTTCACTTTAAACGGTCCTGATTTCCTCTTGTCTCTTATAAACGGCTAGAATTCGGGTTTCTCCATTTCTTTTTACAGAAAAATTTGGTCGTTGCGGGAAACAAGAGGAGAAAAAGTGTAATTTAATTCAATCGAAATTCAGGCGACTTTCGTTCTTAGGTTTTCGAGACAACGATGGCGACATCAATGGAAAATTAGACAAAAAATGAAATAAATTATTGAAAACTAACTATCAAACTTGGCCCGATTTCAACTTGACCAAAATTGGGTAAAATTTGGGATAAATACTTGGCCTGAATTTCGCAGCCAGTGATCCTTGCATGGGGCGGCGTATCTGATTCTTAATTCTTATTGGGCTTTTGTAACATCCCATGTGGTTATTGGCTTGTACATCACATGTGGGCTGAGTTTTGGGGGCTTAAAGATGGGCCCATTAATTGGATCTTTACCAGTCTCCCTACCTTTAAACTGTTTGTGGTAATTAACCAGCAGTCTCTATCTCTAAAAAGTGTCACTCTCTCTCACACTATTGACTTAAAAGGTTTTGTGGTTCTCGTTCATTTTGTAAAAAAGCATTTGGTTATTGTAAGCATTGTACTATGGAATTAAAGAGAGGTAATTACTTGGTGTTTTGATTATGGGTCTATATTTCTGTTGGACTTTTGCAGATCTGCCGACCAACTAGTCGACGAACGGGAGAGGTCTGTGGGTCCTCTGCAGGTGGAGGACCCAGAAATGGTTGCCTCCATGGTGGAAATGTAAGACCCATTTTCCATTTCACTGTTTTCTCTCTCTAGATCTGTAAGCTCATTTCCCATTTCTAGTTTTTTTTTCCCTACCCGTTCTTGTCATTTCATTGGTTTTTTCTCTCTAGATTTTTCATGTGATTGTAATGAGTCTATTTTTACATTGCTACCCCTCCCCCATCTCCCTCTCTCTCTCTCTCTACCAACACTGACTCTCTAACATTATCAAGCAACATTCTATCTCCTGTCATAAACTGCAGCGGGGGGTTACCCCTGCATTTATTATATTTCAAGACTTCTTGTGACAGTGAATTGGGGCAAGAGCAGGGGGTGAGGCAGACACACATGAATAGGTTCTTGATCCATAAGTCCTCGATCTGAAATAATGGCCCCCCATTTTCCGAATTTATTACAACTGCAAAACATTTTCTTCATCATTAAAGTAGAATTCCTCTTGTTCAACTGGAATTTTGTTGAACTGGAATTTCATATGACATTTACCAACACTCACATATGAACAAACATTTTACTCTTCCGGTTAGCATATACTTAATCCTTCACAATAAACCGCCTAAATTTTTAAATTTGGAGGAGAATTGGTTTATCATCATTATAACCTCTTCCAATAGCATATACTTATCCTTCATTATAAATCACCTAAATTTCCGACTAGTTGGGATCGGCTTCAAGATTCATGAAAAGTTTTGATAAAATTAATACATTCCACACCTCGTCTATCGAGCCTTAGCGTGGTTTAAGGAAAATTTTTAAGATCCTCATCCACCATAGAGAAAATTTGGTTATCGATTGGAATTCCAAGCTTTCTTCAAATTTATCAAGATTTTGTTGGTCTTAAATTTTTTTTTAATAATGTTTTTTTTCCTTTAGTAAACTTTATAACTTTTCCACTAGTGGGTTTCTACTTTCTAACCTTTTTACGCTTTCCTTATTTGTTTCTTTTCCTTTCCAATTTTTTAATAACCTTAGCTCTTTATTCTTAATAAAACTGGGATATTTATCTCTTTTTACAATTTCACTTTTTTGACTCTACATTGGTGGGCCAGCACGTGCCGCACTCATGCTGGGCAGCCACCTCACATGCCCACATGTAAGTGGGTCCACCGTTGCAGATGTGAGACTGCAACAATCTAACGGTCAGGATCTCCTTTCCAGTACACAAATCGCATCTGGTCTATTCAGATGTGATTGCGACAATCAAACGGTCAGGATATGCTTTATAGATTGTCAATTGTCGTACCTTCTTTGGCTGTGTACCTTCCAGCGAGGAGAAATAGATCATCTAACCTACGGTCCAGATTCTCTCTTCAGGAGGAGAAGGGATTCTGAACCGTCAGATGTGTGAACGCAGGGTGTTGGCCTTTATCCAGATTTCAAAAAACCTTTAATGGAAAAGAGAACCATAGACCAGAGGTGCGTTTGATACATGATAAATGGTGCTCAAGGTCAAGATCAGCCGTACCTGCCAAACTGCGGTTAATCTTGACTCTTTGCATTTGGTAAACCGCAGATATTCATTTGGTTACCGTACATCATACACCGCTTGTGTATAAGTTTTCTCAATAGGAAAACACCATCGGAACTCTCTTTTGTTTGCCCAAAGATGTTATACTCCCGCGGCAGTATATTACCCATTTAGGACCCCAACTTTTGGCGACAATCTCTTCACCCCTTGTTTAACCTGAAGAATTTTTTTTGTTTTTTTTTGTTTTTTAATTGCAATGATTTTTTTTTCTAATTACAATCTCCAGAAAAATAATCTCAAGATTAAATAGAAACCATTTAATTTTTAGAGATGAGATCTAAGTGTTAGTAAACTCAGGATGCAATTTTTTTTGTTTGAAAATAATAATGTAGGGATTCCGGGTTCTCAAAATTTCAAACGGAAAAAATTCTCCCAAGTAGGTCATTTGAGGAAGTAGATGTACATTGTAGCGGTCTGATCCTTCCATTCTCTCTCTCTCACCATGTCCTCTCTCTCTCTCACCATGTCCTTAATGAATGAGCAATTGCTCTGTCTCTTCCTCTGGCCCTGTGTTTTTGCTATTTCCACTGGCCCTGTGTTTTTGCTATTTCCGGCAGTACACATTTCGAGCTCTCTCTCTCTGTAATCTGCCCTCTCTGATATTGCCATCACGTTGCATTTGCACTCTCTATTCTGTCTTTTTGCTATTTCCACTCCACCCATTTGCGCTCTCTCTCTCTCTCTCTCTCTGCCTTTCCCCTGCTTCCACTCACATTGCTCTGCATTCGTCCCTTTCCTTTCCTGCTAACACTTTCTTTTTACTATTTCTTCTCTAACCTCTCTCTCTCTCTCTCTCTGACATTTTCTTATTAGCTATTTGCAGTTCTGCACCAAAATCCATTTGACCATTGATCTCTCTATGTTTCTCCCTTCCTCTTTCTAAAATCCGCAATTGCCTGAACCTCCAGGAGCATCCATAATGCCACGCAACGCCGCCGCCTAGGCTTTTTCTCGTGCGGTACAGGCAACCCCATTGATGACTGCTGGCGCTGCGATCCTCTGTGGGCACGCCGCCGCAAGCGCCTGGCCGACTGTGGCATTGGCTTTGGCCGTAATGCAGTCGGTGGACGCGATGGCCGCTACTACGTTGTCACTGACTCCTCGGACAACGACGCGGTTAATCCCAGACCGGGCACCCTCCGCCATGCCGTTATCCAAGACGAGCCGTTATGGATCGTCTTCAACCGCGATATGGTCATCAAACTGAAGCAAGAGCTCATCATGAATAGCTTCAAGACGATCGATGGTCGTGGAGTGAATGTGCACATAGCTGGTGGGGCCTGCATCACCGTCCAATTCGTGACGAACATTATAATACATGGGCTTCATATTCATGATTGCCATCCTACGGGGAATGCGATGGTGAGGAGCTCGCCGAGCCATTATGGGTGGAGGACGATAGCCGACGGTGACGGGGTGTCGATATTCGGGTCCAGTCATATCTGGGTGGATCATTGTTCGCTTTCCAATTGTGCAGATGGGTTGGTGGATGCGATTATGGGGTCGACTTCGATTACAATCTCCAACAATTACTTCACCCACCATAACGAGGTCTCTCTCTTTCTCTATGTCACCTTCTCTCTGTTCCTGTGTGTGGGTAGTGTGCTCTCTCTCTTTTTTCTTTTTTTTGTTGAGTTTGTTTGTTTGTACTTTTTGCTTTTCACTTTTACTGTCTATGGGAGTTTTGGGTTTTTATTTTTGCATTTTAGTCTCTTTCTCTTGTCTTTGCTTTTTACGTTTACTCTCTGCGTGTGTGGGGAGTTTTGGATTTTGTTTTTTTCCCCTGTTTTTCACTTACTTTCTTCCTGCTTCTGATGGTGTTTTTGGTTTTGTTTCTTCATTTTCACTTACTATTACTCTCTCTAAATGACTAATTGGGTCTCTATCTTCTTTAATGTGTATGGCTTTTTTGTTCTCTCTCTGGATGTTGTGGTTCTATCTCTCTAACACCCACTGTCCTATTTGTAAATATAGTGTGAGTTTGCTGAAATTTGGCTGTTCATTTTACCGAAATTTAATTTGTGTGCAGGTGATGTTATTGGGTCATAGCGATTCTTACGAGCGGGACAAGGGAATGCAGGTCACCATTGCCTTCAACCACTTTGGTGAAGGCCTTATTCAGAGGATGCCTAGGTAAATTCCACTTAGGCATTTTGGCCATTCCCCAATAAATTTATATTCCAATTACTTCAAACCTCTCTTTCTCTACCTCTCTCTCTTTCTAACCTTCCTTTTCGCCATTTTTACTCATCCATTCTCTCTCTTTCTGTCAAAGAGAGATGTAGAGAGAGAAAGAGGCCCCATCTCTTTTAACTTTTCAGTGATTATTACATAAAAAGTAAATGGAAATTTTATGGTGAATATTATGAATAGAAGTTAAATGGGTGGGTGCATTTTGTAGGTGTCGGCATGGGTATTTCCATGTGGTGAACAACGACTACACGCATTGGGAGATGTACGCCATAGGTGGAAGTGCAGAACCCACCATCAACAGCCAGGGCAACAGATATCTTGCACCTACTAACCCATTTGCTAAAGAGGTAACAAACTTAAATACACAACCATGCCCATGATTTTCATTCGATTTTGCCGTAAAATTTGGGTTCTCTTTCAAGATTGGCTGAAGCTTTGGTTGATAAAAATATCACACCTACGTAACCCCATGTGTCATGCAATGATAGAGACAAAATTCTTTAGAATGCCTTTTGATGGATGTTTACCCAGCAGAGTACATGTTAACAAAATCAAATAAATGATAAATGCCGCACAATGTTTGCCATAATGGGCTAAACGTTAATTAATCCTTTAAGTCCTCGCATATATGACCAAAAGTGTATGGCTTCACTGAGGCTTCAGGGTTACTAAAGAGGAAACAACGTATTTGTTATATGACCAAAAGGGTATGGCTTCATCGAGCGTATGATCTTTAACAGAGCAAAATGAAGGACTAAAATTCGTGTAGTCGATCTCAAGTAGTTAAAAAAAAATTATAATGATGATGATATATGACCAAAAGGAAATTCAGTATATTAAGTATTAGTTAATACGATTTACCTCTATTATCTACCCAAGTCACTATATTGTAGGCATGCATTTTGATTTGCCCCCCAAATAATTTGGTCATTCGATGTTACAGGTGACTAAGAGGGTTGACACAGCTGATGGTGTATGGAAAGGCTGGAACTGGAGGTCACAAAATGATCTAATGCTTAATGGAGCTTACTTCACTCCCTCTGGTGCTGGTGCCTCTGCTAGTTACTCTCGAGCTTCAAGCCTTGGGGCCAAGTCTGCTTCTATGGTTGCTTCTATCACCTCCGGAGCTGGTGTCCTCACGTGTCGTAGGGATTCGGTTTGCTGACCCCTCTGCCACCCCTCCCTCTCTCTCTCTCTGACTCTATCTCTCTCCTTGACGGTGTACATTTTTTCTACACGGTCGCACCTACAGCTTCTTTCAACCTCGGCCTGCTCCTTATTTACTAAATTGCGCATTCGCGAGCAGGTGCAGAAGCGTTGCTGATGTTGATTTGTTTACCCTCTCTCTATATATGTCTCTTCTCTCTTCTTTCTTCATTCTATGCAAAATTGTTACATGTTTTATTTTTATTTTTTATTTTCCCTTTTTTTGGTGATTGTTTCTCAAAGATACAGTATATTGTATACTCATGCGAGATTGTGAGCATCGCATGAGGATTGGGGTAAACATTGTGGGCGATGAAACAGGTTGAGAGAGTTGTATTTTTGTTTTTGTTTGGATTTCACTTAAAGGAAGCTGTCTCTTAATAGTCTTGCTAAGCTTGCTATTTGCTTTGGGCTTTTGCCTTAACGATGGTTTTAAACTTCCAATTGTACAATAATATCTCTTAACGATGGTTTTGAACTTCCAATTGTACTGTAATATCCTTACTTTCGGACTCATATTTCCTTGTATGTTTTCTTAATCACAAGAAAAGAAGTAAACATAAAGAGACAGGGGAATATTCTACTATTCCATTCCAAAGTAAAGAATATTCCTTATATCCTCTGGACGTTGTATGTTACGTCCACATTAGCTCGTACTGAAGCAAACATTTCCTTTCCCAATGGAAAAAGTTTATATAAGGTGGATGCCGTATACAATCAAATTAAGCCGCACCCCAAAAAAATTATAAAAGAAGTTGTTTCGATGCTGAAATTCAATCATTTTAACCTTGTGACACATGAACATAAAAAATATAAACTCGACGTCTTGAAAATACTGAATTTTGTAATACATTTTTTAGACTGTTAATTTTTAGGATTTTCAAGTCTTCATAGACGTGTTTGACCAATACACTATATTTAGAGATGAAAATAATCTTTCAATCCATTGTAAAGATTTTCGATGCTGAAACAACATCTTTCGACACCATTTGGAGGCATGCCTTACTTTGATTGTTTAGGACCTCAGCCTTATACAAACCACACCCTTTGTCAATACTCTCTTTCTAAATTGGCAGCAAACATTAGCCAGCTCTCTCTTTCTCTCTTTTTTAACAAATATTATCAAATTTTACTACCAACTAAACCATGATTACAACTTTCAGCACTCACATCAATGTATTTACATCATTCAAAATCGAAATGGAATCTATCGACACCCCTCTCTTAGCCAATCCATCAGCAATATGAATAGATTCTCTAAACACATGCTGGAAGGATAGCGATAATTCCCCTTTTAAGTCCAAAACTTGGCCCCAAATCGATCGCAACATCTATGGAACACGAATTTCCTTATTGCATCACTTTATCGCATTTAAAGAATCACCTTCCACAATAATGAAATGGCCCAAATTCAAGGCTTTAATAAACAACAATCTTTTATGCAATGCTGTGAATTCTGCCATGTTAGCCGTTGCCCACCCAATAGGTCCAACATAAGAATAACCTTCAACAACAATGAAATGGCCCAAATTCAATGCTAAGAGAGAATAGCTAAGAGAGAATAGCTTCAAACAGCCTACTACAGGGGGTATCCATTTGCCGTTCATTCTCAGCCTTGTCCTATTAGGAAAAGCAAGATTGGCTAAATTTAAACGCACATTGATCTCAGTAATCCCTCTCCTATCTTTGGTGACAGATAACCAACTCCATATAGGGTGAAGTATATGCTGTAGAAGACCATCATTAAAGCCCTTGTTCCTTCAAAAGTACGTCTATTCCGCTCTTTCCAAATTTTCCAATAGACAACACCTCTTACAATTTGCCAAATCAAATACCCTACTTTAGGTAGAGCCGGAAACATCAATTGTGAGATGATACCCAAACCACTTTGAGGTAGAGTCATCCTAAAGCCAAGCAAACCAAAGAAATAGTTCCAAATACCTGTGGCAAAGCGACAGTGAAGAAATAGATGTGAAATCGACTCCCCATCCTCTTTACACATTAAGCATACATTGGGTAAGATCTTTCCTCTTTTAATGAGATTATCTAATGTAAGAAATTTATTTTGCTCAGCCAACCACATAAAACACTGAACTTTGTGAGAAATAGACCACTTCCATAGTTGAGAAATTTGGGGCTGCGACCATCTGTAGTGATCATGAAACAAGAGAGAGTACATTGCTTTTATCGAAAAAAGATCATCCTTACTGTGTTCCCAAACCAACTCATCACCAATATAATTGGATATACACACTTCCTGTAACTGTGATAACAAGCCCGTGATCTATGCCACCATATTATCATTTATACAGTTATAAGGAAACTGAATATCTCATACCAAACCTGATAAGTATCACTTATCAAAACATTAGGATAAGAAGTCTTAGCGAATAATTCTGGGAAAACGATTTTCAAAGGACTATCCCCGAGCCACTTATGATGCCAACATGGAATTTGGGCTCCATTCCGCACACACCATTGGATGTCTCTATAGAGATAGGCTTTGAACAAAAAAATGTCCTTCCAAAAAACAAACCTTGATTTGCTTTTTCTACCACCTCCAATCCACACACCATAGTTATCCACACCACATTTTGTAGTCAGGACCTTGCACCAAAGCTGGTCCTCAAAACATAAACTATCAAAGCTGGTCCTCAAAACATAAACTACGCCACCACCATTTTGTCAATAAGGACTCACTCATCATTGCCATTCTTTGGATACCAAGACTTCCCTCACTTTTCCGGTACAAACTCTATCTCATCTTACCAAATGATATTTTTTATTATCTCCAAAAGAGCCCCAGATGAAACATCGCATCATCCTTTCAATATTCTTAACCACACTTGCTGGCATTTTCAGTAGATACATTTGATAAATAAGTAAATTTGCCATACAAGATTTCAATAAGATTATTCGGCCCCCAAGATAAAGATATTTAGGCTTCATAAATCCAATTTTACTTGGGCGCGTTCGATCACTCTATCCCTAATCGAGATAAGTAATCTAGAATGAGAAATAGGAAGGCCTAAATAAAAAATGAGAAATTGTTAACTTTGCATCCAAGAATGAGAGCTAGCCCATTAGTAAGTGGAGCTAGTTCCTCAGTCAGTTCCCTACTACAATTAACCCAACCACGAATTAGAGCTAGCTAGTTTTTTTTCTCTCTCTCTCTCAAGGAAATGGGGAAGCTTTAGATGTCTCTATCTACAGGACCTTGCACCAAAGCTTATCCTCAAAACATAAACTATACCACCACCATTTTGTCAATAAGGCATCATTCATCAATGCTACTCTTTGGATACCAAGACTTCTTTCACTTTTCGGGTACAAACTCTATCTCATCTTACCAAATGATATTTTTTATTGTATCCAAAAAAGCCTTAGATAAAACATTGCATCATCCTTTCAATCTTTTTAACCACACTTACTGGCATTTCTTAAATAAGTAAATTTTGATAAATAAGTAAATTTGCTATACAAGATTTCAATAAGGTTACTCGACCCCTAAGAGAAAGACATTTAGGCTTTTATGAATCCAATTTTACTTAGACCCGCTCAATCGCTCTATCCCAAACCGAGATAAGTAATCTAGAACGGGAAATAATAGGAAGGCCTAAATAAAAAATGAGTAAATGTTAACTTTGCATCCAAGAATAGAATGAGAGCTAGCCCTACTACAATTAACCCAACCGAGAATCAGAGCTAGCTAGCTCTCTCTCTCAAGGAAATGGGGAAGCTTTAGATGTCTCTTATCTACGGGAAAGACAGAAGCATGGCAATTAGCATTCCAGCAAAGAGAAGCGACTAACGGAGGGAAGACATATTTTCTCTCTCTGTCGATCCCTTGTAATAAGCTCAAGGCCAGCTAGGAGACGAAGTTATAATAGACGGAACAGTATTTTAGTACCAATAATGGCTCTCTCTCTCTTTCTCTCTCTGTATATTTAATAGAACATTGAAGAAGAGCATGATCTACAAAAATATAACCATATAAAGAAGGGGAATTATGGAGTTCCAGCCATGGTGGTTCTCGCCCATTTTTTCTCTCTTCTTGGTTCTTGCAATGGCGAACTGTAAACGCATTCCTACAACTCTTGAAGGACCGTTTTCACCTGTTACTCGACAATTCGATCCATCTCTACGAAGAGGCAGCGAAGACTTGCCTATTAACCATCCGAGACTCACCAAGAAAGTCCCCTCAATTTTTCCTGAACAGATTGCCCTTGCCATCTCTTCTCCAAACTCAATGTGGGTGTCTTGGGTTACAGGTTTTGGTCCAACTTCACCCCATTTATGTTTTCCAATGTGTTTTGATGAACTTGTTCATTGAGTTGTTAGTTGAAACTGAAATGTATTTCTATGAATTGCATCCCTGCAAAAACCCTTCCAAAAGAAGGGAAAAAAGTTAAGTTACTAAGTATATGCTGAGTAGTTTTGATGGGGTTTTAGTCCATGGATGCCATTAGATAAGCGTGAATCGATGAGAACCATTATCATATGTATGGGTTCTATTTGATGAGATTGTTCACCAGTGTAACTATTGTAGTTAGTACATCCTTAGGCCTTGTAGAAGCATGAGAGAGGGTGTGAGCAGATGTAATTTTGAGATTTTGCTAGTTTCCTACAGCAGAGAATCCGCAAGATATAACTCACCGAGTATAGCTACTTGATATGGTGGGTTTCATAGAGAGTTAAATCTTAAAAATTCTTATCCAGGTGAATTAATGATTGGTTTTTGTTAATCTAAGTCAATATGCTCAGAGGTGGAGATCTATTTAGACTCAAAACACATGGAACCAAAAGAATTAGCTAATCAATTCCATACCAGGACCCAGATTCATTGTCTTATTACGACATCGAAACATATTTATCCCGTGAACACAATTAAAATGCAAAAAGTTGCACAAGTAATTTGAATGTACTCTTCTGATTTTTCTTTCATCGAACTCCTCATTCATTTGGATTGTGGAATTGTGCCACTTCTCAATCTCCACTTGATAGTCATGTTTGAATGATTACCCATATCCAAGTCAAGAAAAGAAAAAACGGATTCATGTTTAATCTGTGACAAATCAGAGCTACTTGACCTTCAAATATAACCATAATTGAAAAGGAATAAGACTCAAAATTCAAATATGGGGTACAGATAGAGTCAATGATATCTGTATTGAAATACTTGATAGGTTTTGCAAAGTTAGGGAATTTACTTTGATATGAGTATTGGCTTCTATGGTGGCTCACGAACTTAGTTAACCCTAGCCTGACTGGAAAGATGCTACAACAAAAAACAAAGTCCATATGTCAACCAATTAATTGGCTTAGTCCTAGTCTGAATGATCCCACTTTCTTATCAACGAATTGGTTATGCACATTTCTAGCTTTTTCTGAAATAGGTCGGGGGGATGTTTCATTGCATTTTCCTAATAAGTGGATTACAGAAATGGTCTTTACCAATGAAATGTGCTGTGGAACGAACTTGTTTTTCTTTACTCATCGATGGGCTGGGGAGTGAACATAATTATTCTATAGTAAGTGATCCATTCGAATAATGGTGAGTAATGCAGTTTGCATTGAGAAAGTTCTTGGCTTCCAACCTCTCTCTTGCAAACAAACTGACCTATCCTGAAAAAAAAACATGCCTATTTAAATTCCTTTTGTTCTCACATTGGTTATTGTTTGTGTTTTTTAGCATGCTGGACTAATGTTGAATGGTGCAAAGTATGCTTTGGCTCACGTGCATGTACATACATAAACATGTATCTGTTTTTGTGCATATTAGTAGGTATGCCCCCTAATATATGAGACATATTTTGAATTGCTGCCTCATCCATGTAAATTGGTTATCACTTCATTAAACTATGGGCCCTTGGAGAGTTTAGTAGCACTTACAGACATACAACCCTTTCCCACGCCATATCCACATGCGCATACTAGTCTACATCGTCTACAAATATATTGCACATTCATGCACACATGCATGATTACTAGAACCATTGTATAGATTTATTATCTGTATCAATTAGTTTTAGTTCTCAATCCTGATGTTTTAGATATACTATTTCTGACCTTGCTTATATTAGATACCCCATTTAATCTGCTTTTGAATGCAGGGGATGCTCAGATTGGGCCCAAGGTAACCCCTTTGGACCCCTCCACTGTTGCAAGTGAGGTTCATTATGGGAAAGAGAGTGGGAGATATTCTTTTATCAGAAAAGGGATATCTACTGTTTACAGCCAGATATATCCATTTGAAGGCTTGTTGAATTACACTTCTGCCATTATTCATCATGTAAGAATTGAAGGTGGGTTTCTTATGTTTTAGAATTAGTAATATGATGGCATAGATTAATATCACATTCTTTGAGTAAGCCTTATCAGCTTTTGAGTTTCTGGTTTGTTTACTTGGAATTTTCAATGACGAAAGAGCTAATCTTTTCCAAACGGCTGGGCCAGGGCATGCGATGACCAGGCCTCTTGCCAGCCCTCTGTAATACATATTCATATTTGTGTATTGTAATATTAGATCGTTTGGAGTTTAAGACTATAAGCTATTTTGTTTTTGCAGGTCTTGAACCTGGAGAAAAGTACTATTATAGATGTGGGGATAGTTCATTATCAGCTATGAGTGAAGAACACATATTTGAAAATTTACCCTATCCTGGCCCAACCAACTATCCCCATCGAATTGCAATTGTTGGAGATTTAGGCCTCACAAGCAATACAACATCGACTATAGACCATCTCATTAGGAATTCTCCCTCACTAGTGCTAATGGTTGGAGACCTGAGTTATGCAGATCAGTACCAGACTGTTGGTTCCAAAGGAGTTCCATGCTTTTCTTGCGCGTTCCCAGATGCTCCCATCAGGGAAACATACCAACCACACTGGGATAATTGGGGAAGGTAATCTTGTGTCCTCAGAACATTAAAATGGCATTACAATTCTTGGAAAGGTCTCCTAGGTTGAGATATTATCCTTGCATCGGACTGTGGACTATAGTGTTTTGAATGTTTGATGGAGCTGGATGGGAGAAAAGAGAGTGGATTTCAAGCAGAATGTGAAAATATATGCTCCTTTTAGACTTAGATGTTCTTTTTGGTAAAGGGAAAGGGTAAACCTTGTTTTGATCTGTTTCTGTTTTCCTTTGATATCTAGTATAATCTTCTACAGTGAATATGTCTGAACTGTATGTGGAAAATTTGTTTCAATCTCATTTTATTTTTAAATGGATTTATTTCTTTACAGCACAAAGACATAAAAATGAAATGTTAGACCTACAAATGAATACCAGGGAAGTGCTCACATGAATTTATACAGGCGTTTGAACTGAGATGGCCCTTCTTATCTAGGATGGGCTGCTTCATAACTCATTTCTAATAAAATTGGATTTATTTTTGAATTAGATGAAACCCATGTTATTATAAATTAATGTTTCTCAATCTAGATTCCTATTTTCTGGAGATTCAAACAAAGAATCTAAGGTTTAATTTGGAGAGAATTTGTCCATTATTTCCTAATGATACTGAAGTGTTGAAAGCATTTTATAATTGGGGTTTTGGCTAGGGATTTGTTAGTTATTTACTTTGATTAGGAATTGCATTTTCCTCAGGTTTATGGAGCCCCTAACCTCAAGAGTTCCCATGATGGTGATTGAAGGAAATCATGAGATAGAGCCTCAAGTTGATGGAGTCAATTTTAAAGCGTATCAGGCACGATTTTCTGTTCCATCAGAGGAAAGCGGCTCTAACAGCAAGCTCTACTACTCATTTGAAGGAGGAGGGGTTCATTTTATCATGCTTGGAGCCTATGTTGGCTACAATAAGACAGGTTGCCAGTGCACTCTCTTTCATCCACTTATTAACATATGCAGTATAGTATCTGTTTTGATGCAATTTGGTCTCCAAAAATATGTCTATCATGAAACAGGTAGGCCCCTAGATTAAAGGAAAAAACTATCTATAAGTCACTATCAAATGAAAAGAAAAGTAAATTTGGAATCATGCCCCTGTCCAGATGGTTTTAGTGCCGGCAATTGCAGCACAAAATCCAGGTTCAAATCCCACCACCAACTTATAAAAAAAGATAAGAAAGGAAAAAAAAAAAAAACTAGTTAAAATATACTCTTAGCCAAATTGCAAATAATGGGGATAAGGTTTGGATTTTAATTTTTCTAGGACTTAGAAAATATGTTATTTGGATTTTTAGTTTTCTTTAGGGTTATTCTTGTTTTTTTAAGTTGTAGATATTTAAGGGGTAGAATTGGAAGTTTAATTTTTTATTTTTTTTTAAAGATGGATATGAATAGGGATTAGCGGGGTTGAGTTGTTTAGGATATGTTAGACTTGTTTTTAATAGATAAGATAGAGATAGAGTTTAGTTTGTTATTTTTATTTATTATTCCTTATAAGTTTGTATTTAAAGAGAAGAGATCCCTTCTTTGTAGAGAGAGTGATTGGTGAATAAAGAAAGAGTTTGATCTTGTGATAAGATCTCCCATGTAGACCCAGAGAGAGGGTATAATATTTTAAATCTTTATTTTCATTTTTATATTTCTAGTTTATTATTTTTTTCACTGCATCAATGATGATAGTTAAAATATACTCTCTATATGATGATAATTAAAATATACACTATAGTTAAATATACTCTCTATGGTTTTCTTTATAATCTATACATTATATTTTTAAATATATGCACTCAATGGACCCTCTGGAACAGGTGCACAGTATACTTGGCTTAGGCAGGATCTGCAAAAGATGGATCGAAAAGTTACCCCTTGGCTTGTTGCTGCATGGCATCCACCCTGGTATAATAGTTATTCTTCACACTATCAGGAATTCGAGTGTATGAGGCAGGAAATGGAAGATCTTTTGTATCAATATAGTGTTGATATAGTCTTTTCCGGCCATGTGAGTAGTTTAGTGATTCTTCTTTCCCCGGGCAATTAATGGCATGCTTGAAGTATTTAGTTACTATGTCTACTTTCTCAAAATCAGGCATTTCAATTGGACTTCTTCAAAACTAACCGACTTTTTGGAAGGAAATTCTTGTGCTCAATGAAAAGAATAAAAACTTCTCAGTGTCTATTGCTGTAAATGCTTCGAATTTGTGAAATATTTAAGTTCTTGCAGTATAATGCTTGGTATGTAGAGGTTTTATGAATATCACACACACTCTTTATATCCATGTGCAGTATTTTTAATTTTTGTTCATATGATTGTGTGCATAAATACTTGGGCATGTGTAGTTCTGCCACAAAAGAAAATTAAAAATTCATATTTATGTTTATATTGAAGTTCTTAAGTACATCAAAACAAGTTCATGTTTATGTATAGGACACGGTTTCTATTGAGTCCACAAACTCACATGTAGAAATGCGGGCCCCTTGGTAATTTATTTTTGAAATAGAATTTAATCCTAATTTTTAAGGAATATATAATATTTAACTTGTAGATTATTAATCTGTAAAAAAAAAAAAAATTGTAAAAACTAGAAATGATATTTTTTGGATAAAATATTTGAACCGTTGATTTTACTTTTTCTTTGGAGGACTATTATTTATGGTGTAGATCTACACTTTCTTTGGTCGATGGCCTAGATCTCCAAGCCCGCATAGTAACAGGTGCGGGCTTGGACGCACCAAACAATTATTGTTATGTATATCATTTAGATATTGAATGTGGTTATTCTTAGAATATGAAACCCAAAAGTGTATCCAATATTTTCAAACTTACTGCACTGATTTGAGACTTCAGCTGACTCACTTTGATCCATCTTCTAAGTAATAGATCATTGTGATTTGCGATTTAGACTCTAGTTTCCATAGGACAGTTGAATTTAGATTCTATTTTTCCTGTAAATTACGTTATTTCTATCTGTATTTCTTGCAGGTACATGCATATGAAAGAATGAATAGAGTTTACAATTACAATCTTGATGCTTGTGGCCCTGTATATATCACAATTGGGGATGGGGGAAATATTGAGAAGATCGATCTAGACCATGCAGATGACCCAGGGAAGTGCCCATCACCTAGGGATAACAAACCTGAATTTGGGACAACGTGCCATATAAATTTTACTTCAGGCCCAGCAAAAGGCAAGTTTTGTTGGCACAGGCAGCCAGACTGGAGTGCCTTCAGAGAGAGCAGTTTTGGACATGGAATTTTAGAGGTATTTCGAAATGTTCAGAACTTTCAAATTCTATAGTGGTGTCAGGGCATGCTACATTTTTTCTACTAGTGGTTTTACTTTAGTATATACTATGTTGACAGCTAGGAAAAGTGATGAGATATTGCAAAAAATGGAAGATAATCAAATTGAGCTCTGGAGAATTTGAGCCACTTATTGTCTGATAGAAAATTTCATTTTGCAGTTTCCTTTTTTCATGGATCATAGCTTCTTAATTTCAGGTTTGCTGCTCATGTTCTTATGATCCAGGCAGACACTAATAAAACCTGAATTCCTTCATTAAAATGTGCAATTAACCATCTATACACTGGAAATTTCAAAAAAAAAAAAAAAACCATTTATATACTGAGGTGCTTTTAATAGTATTTAATCTCTTATAAGGCATAATTGTACCAATAGAAGTAAAAAGGAAGGAATGTTTGTTTGCGAGATGAAGTAAACCGCCCATTCAAGAACTATTGGGCTTTTTGTACTGAGAACTAATTGCTGATATCTTATGTATCCAAGCTTTTTATTTTTTGAAGAGGCGTTTCCTTTTTTTCATTTTTTTTGGGTGGGGGGGAGGGGCGCATTAAGAATCAAACCAAGAATAGAGATTGCAAACTTCAACTGTTTACTAATTAAGCCCAGACCTGATTCCTTGCATCCATGCTTAATATATTAGCCACGAAATTTGAAACAAAGCGTTTTCCTCTTCATAAAACCATACTACCACCTTTCTCTTTCCTCCCAAACACTTTCAACATTACCAATATGAAAGTCTAATTTGATGAACTATTCTAAGCATTTCACTTGGGCATGTCTAGGTGATGGAATCTTTCTCCCCTGTAGAGAGCGTTCATGCTTTCTGTGACATACCCTCATGCATCAAATTTTTACTTAAAATGCCTGGATTGCCAAAAATATTTCTTTAGAGCCTTTCCTTATTTAACCCACGACATGGTAACCATTTCACTGAAATGCCTAAAACATGAAATTTCTTTTCAAATTACATCAAATATCAAATCATTCCCTAAATCCTTGTACATCTGAGTTTTGTGGCAACTTTAATATTCTTTCAAGTTTATATTTAAGAACTTTTTCTCATCCTTTTCTTTTGTTTTTCTTCTTTGTTTTTCTTAATTATAAGTTGTAATTGCTCTCCATGAATTTTAACCCAACTTTTCTTCAACTTAACAATTTCCTTGATGCATCTTTGCTTGTCATGTGACATCCTATGATATGCACCGTCGTGGCATGACAGCCTCCCAACATCTTCAAACTATGCAAAAGTTGTCCATTATCACCAGAGTTCGTTTCAAGGCTGTTCTTTGTTGTCTTCTTTTCTTCTTCTTGTTCTACTTTTTTTTTTTTTTTCTCATTTATAATTATCTCTTTTATGAGATCTGTTTGTCTTAATAGAAATGAAATGTTGCCAAAAAAGAAAATCTTTACATATATATTAAATGCCTTAAACGATACCCTTGCCAACTAAAGTGGAAATTGAGGTACTGAAGGAAGTCATGATGGAAAGGCATCGATATTTTTATGACCCGCTCTGTTCTGATGTGGATTACCTATGACTTACTGTAGATTTATCATGTTATTATTAATATCCTGATATTGCCTGTGCAAATCATGAACAAACAAGAAAAAAAAAAAAAAAGTGCTACAAAAATATGAGAAGAAAAAGAATAATGATTTAACTCACATTGCATGTATGTCCAATGTGATGCACAGAAGTAATGCAGTAATATGATAGTATGTTCATATCTTAGTTATTTTATTGAACACCCTGCAGGTTTTCAATTCAACGTATGCCTTATGGACTTGGCATAGGAACCAAGATGCATACAATGATGGTTGTGGAGATCAGATATACATTGTTCGGCAGCCTGAATTGTGTATGGACGGTATCAGATCGGTTTCTTTAAGTGGTGGTTAGTATAAAAAATTAGCTGATACGTATGTATTTGTTGAAAAACCAATAAACATTATGCGGGAAATCTGGTAAAAATAGAATCTTCTTATAATGTACATATGTAAATTATACGCATGAACTTACATGTGCAATTGTTGATTATTGTTATTCTTTTTTCTCACATCCCCTTGTCGTGCTTTCTTTTACTGTTTTAATGATAATGCAACACTTTCAAGCAGCTTTGCAATGTGTAGTGTGGCATGGTAGTGTTCTCCCATGTTCTGGGTACATGGATCTCTCTCTCTCACACACACTCTCAGTCTGCGGTATTAAATAGATAGATATACATCATGGATATAAACTGTTTTTTCAACATGCGGTCACAATGTTTACATGAAAAATTATATATAGAACGGTGGTGAGCATATGCTAGAGAGATTCTAGAAGCCATTCTAGTATGCAGTATGCACCAAGGTTCTAAAGCTCGCCTCGGCCAAGGTACTCAACGTTGGGTTGAGGCAAGTCACTTGGCCAAGTCCGAGTGGACTTGGGCGAGGTATGTGCACCCCGAAAAATGTTAAAAAGTAAAAAAAGAAGTAAAAACTCTGTAAAATTATTATTATTTTAATAATTTCCTAAAAGGGTCTATTATTTGTTAATATTATTTTTAAAATGCAAAATCTATATAAAATGTTAAATCATTGAAAATTACAATTATGTTTAGAATAATTATATTAAAATATATATAACATGACCATTTATTTTTTATACAAAGAGGTCACGATCATCATTGACAGTTAGATTTGAAATCAGATGGTCGAAGATCTATCATTGTTTGGGTAACAAAGTTCAAGTATAAAATTTCTCGAATGTTGTGAGTTGTGACATTTTCATCTATTTGATTTCACATCCAATGGCTAAAAGTGATTATGACCTCTTTGTACCAAAAATAAATGATCTCTTAGAATACAATCCCCAATAATATTTATTATCACCATTCTAAAAGCTTAAAATTTTAAAAAAGTGGATTAATAAATGGGATCTTATAATTTCCTTTTGGTACAAGGAAGTCACAATAATTTATAACCATCCAATGTGAAATCTGATTGCTTGAGAGTGTCACGAAGTTTGAAAATTTTTTTTTGAATTTTCTACTTGGTCAATAAAATAAATACAGTCATGCAGTTTCTTAATGGTCAAGATTAATTGTGATCACCTTGTACCAAAAGTAAAAAGCGTCATAGTATTCTTTAATAAATCCAATTAAATTGAAAACATATTTATAAGTTGAAAGTTTATTTGAGTAATATCATTAATTCATAGAAAAATCAAGTATAAACTATAATAATACATCTCAAAAATAAATTTCTTAAGAGACCCGCATATCTACATATGTGGGCTTGGCCGCATAGAAACCGGCTCGTTACATAAAATACCCTCAACCAAAAAGTAACTAATTGGTAGATCAAGGGTTGAGTAAGGAGTGATTTACTTAGGGATCTTAAAATTTGAGGTAAAATATGAAATGCTCCATTTATATGCGAGAATTATAAAGAAGGTCAGTCAACCCTTTTTTTTTTTTTTTTTTTTAAAAATGCCTTTCGGTCATCCCAAATTTTGATATTTTTTTAAAGTTTTTTTTAATTTTTCCATTAGTAGGGCAGTGCCTTAAAGTTTGGGGGACTTCCCTACTAATGAAAAAAATAATAATCAAAATTTGGGTTGATCAAAGGGCATTTTTGAAAAAAATAAAAAAAATGGGTTGACTGACCTGTTTTGTAATTTTATATATAAATGAAGCATTTCGTATTTACCAAAAATTTAAGCTCTGTAAGTAAATCACTCTTAATTAAGGTAATGAAATAGTTCAATGAGAGAGTAGCCTAACAAAATCCACCAGCCCACACACACACAACTCAAAAAAAAATCAATGAGGATTACGAGTCACCTAAGGTTTTCATTAGGAAGAAAAAAATAATACATCATACTGTGGATAAGATCATAAAAAGGGGCTGGATTATTCAAATGTTTGCGTTCTTTGTAAGAAAAATGATGAGAACGGATATCATCTTTTTCTTCATTGTCGTTTCTCTTCTCACATCTAGATATGGGTTTTTCAAAAAATTAGACATATTATAGTGGTACCGAGTAGTCATATGAATATTTTGGGTAGAATGGAATTGGATTCTCTACCAATGGTACGCAAGATGATTTGGGAGATGGTAAGAGTTGTTGTTCTTTGGGAGATTTGTATGGAGCGCAATAAGAGGATCTTTGATAACAAAGCTATGGAGGTGGAATTGGTTAAAAATAAGATTCTCCATTCAGGTTGGAGTTGGTTCTCCATGAAAAATGAAGGGTTAATAGTAGCCAGAGCGGATGTTGAGATTAATTTGCATAATTTGATACTTCAAAAAATAATGAAAGTAAGACCAAAAGGTAGGTGGAGTTACCTATGCTATGGAGTAACAACCTTAACTTCGATGGAAGCTCATTAGGAAACCCAGGCCTATCTAGAGATGGAGGAATTTTGCCAGATGCATTTGGAGATGTGATTTTTTGTTTTGCTGGTCCTTGTGGGGAGGTAACGGCTAATGAAGCGAAGTTGGCTGCGTTAGAGTGTGGAGTTCAGATTGTGAGTAAGTAAATGTCAAAATGCCATGTCTTGTTGAAGGGAACACTCTGAACGTGATAAATTGGTGCAATAAGATATCCAGACCGCCATGGAGCTTGAGGCGGAAATGGTTAAATGTTATGGATATATGCAAGGGTCTCCAAATATCATTTCAACATTGTATAGAGAGGCTAATGACATTGCCGATGGATTGGCAAAACAAGATGTGTCTATACAGAATTTGTTTATTTCAGATGTTTTTCCTTTCTGATTGGGTGTAACAAATAATACAACATTGTTAAAAAAAAAATGCAATAATTGTATTTTAAAAAAAAAATGCAATAATTGTATTTTAGTAACATTGTTAAAAAAAAAAAAAAAACGAATAATACAATAATTCAAAGAAAGAGCCCCTTGGTAAGAAGTATAAGCTACGTCTATTGAGAGAATAATCAGGTGGTCTAAGATGCAAAAAACATTATTAGGCCCCGAATTTGGTCAATAAGACAGCAACTTGGTTTGCTTCTTTAGATATATTTTCCTCAATTTTAACTTATCTATGTCTTTGAGCCTAAAGATGAAAAATATTGCTTGGAAGAAAAAGACTACTATTTTTCCTATACCTGAATAATTTTTATTCCTATCTTGCATGCCAAAGCCAAGAGAGGAAGAGAAACTGAAAGAGAGATTTACCCCAATAAAAATGGAAATCATGCCAAGAGAAGAGAAGAGAAGAACCCATCGGTCATCCTACACAGAGACAAGGGAGAGAAAGGAAGAGGAGAGAGAAACTGGGCGAACGCAAGAAGCCATACTTCTTCGCTCTTCTATCCATAACCGGATGAAGTGCGAGCAAGAAAGGATAAAAGCGCAGGTGCTTGCTTAGAGAGAGAGAGAGAGCCCAGTATTTGACTCGGAGATTGAGATGTACCATAGAGAGAGAAAAAAGCTCAGGCGGTTGCTCACGAAGAGAGAGAGAGACTCGAAGATTGAGATAAAGAAAACCCATATCCCTTGCTTCCCGACCTCAAAGTTGCCTGGCACAGCACAAGTAGCAGCTCAGCTGCCACCTCCCCAATTCTGTCTCCCATTACATTTCCCGTCCCGTCAAAGGGCGTGACCACCGCCTCTTCTATAGCGCCCCTCACCCTGCAAATTCTCAATTTTTTCCTCCTTTTTTTTTGCCCCAAACCCCAAATATCTAGGGTTTCCTCCTTTGAGACGAGAGTTTCGGTTTCAGAATCTACAGTTCCTGTTTCATTTTCATTTCTTTCTTCTTTCCTGTTTCATTTTCATTTCTTTCTTCTTCTTCTTTTGATATGAAAGAGAGAGAGTTATTTCTTCTCTTTTTTTATTATGGTTATTGATTTCAGTTGATGTATTGTATAGAGAGAGGGAGTGAGACATGTGAACATTAAGAATTAAAGCGGATTTTGCTTCTCTTTCTTGGGCCTATTTTTATTTTAGAGTGAGGGAGTAATTTGCAGTTGGAGAGAATGAAATTAGGAGTTAAAAGAGAGGTAGTAATTTGCAGTCAGAGAGAAAATGAATCAGGAGTTAATGAGAGAGTGAACTCGGAGTTTTGTTCGGGTGAAGAAAAGCCATCTACCAGCGTATATGAGAGCCAATCGCGAAATCGTGACCGTCAGTGTGAACAGTGAGACATGGAGGGAGCGATGGAATGAGAGATCATTCCCCGAAAGCAAAGGATCCAAGGATGAGAGATCATTCTCTCTCTTTAAGAAAAACCTCAAACAAAGCCTATGTTATTTTAATTTTTATTGAGGTTAAAAATTCATCAAAAAAAGGAATTTACGGGGTTGCAAGATAAAAAAAAAGAATCAATGAATATTACGTAACCACCACCACTAAATTATGGATAAGAACATGGTAGTGCCAAGGAACATTGGTCTTTATAACTCACCAATAACATGATGGTTTCTTCGTCACTATTTCAATATCATTAATCCTCATATACGTATAAGCAGTTTTATATATCGGTTTGCCTAAAAAGTTTAACAAAATCCATTCTTTAAGCCAAAACTTGCTAAAACCAACCGAAATCTACCAACACATACGATAAATAATAAAAAGTTATTTTTGTGCTGTGTGATATGATTTATATATATCTCATACCGGGTTGAGGTCGACCCAACCCAACACGAAAGGGGTCCAAGTCAGACACGAACCCAGACCCGGGACAGGTCCAAGTCATTTGGACCCAAACCAACCCATTGAATCCAAAACTTGGACCCGGTTCGGATCAACCTATTGCCACAGAGACTAATGAAAACCTCAGTCTTTAAACTAGGGTTAGTTTCAATCTTCCTATGTTAGGTGGCCAAAAAAAAATCGCACAAACAACCTTCAGGTAGCTAGGATCCATCCAAAAATCAACTCCCTAACTAATTAAGCCCGGGCTCTTTTCCGAAAATCGACTTGATTATTATTCCTGACTAGCCACACCTCTCCAGGCAAGTTTATTCCCATAAAAATACTCCTCCACGCATGGAGACCCACCTAAATGGGAATGATAAAAGATAGACGTAACTCCTTCCAAGACCAAAAATCTCTCCCACTAACTCATGATATCATGACACTTCCATAACAAAAGAGGAAGGCTA